CTGAAGTCATCTTGCTGCACAGATATGAGGCGATGATGAAAATCTCGTTTGAGTTGCTCGAACTGTTCCTAACTTTCCCCACAGTTATTTCTTAAGATCCGTGTTTTTTCTTGACTTACATAAGTTACTTTTCTTGCTTTTAGTATCTCAAGAGTGTTTTAGATTTTGGCATAATGAGAAGTTGTATGCAAACTAATGAGCTCAAAATTACTTTATACATATAGTATATGTGTCTATAGCATGCTGTGCAAGTAGTGGGACTCACTTGGTTATGAAGACATTGTTATTTGGTCTATTAACTTATCTTGGTCTCTTAGTAAAAGCGCAATATGTATGGATCCTTTGTCTACACACCAAACACATTGCATTTGATTACCATTTTGGACAAGTGTTTCTGAAATTATGTAGTGACTGTTGTTCAGCTTTGCAGGGTATTTTCTGAGCATCTTGCTTGTGATTGACACAACTTTCTCCTTCCATGTTTTTATTGTGTTGACAATATCTCACCTTTTATGGAAGTCATAGATATTATCTGAAATTTAAAAAATGTGCTGACATCATGGTTTTAAAGCAAGTGAATTGACTTGGGACTCGCTAGAGTTGACTTGCCTCGGACACCTACAGAGTACAGTGACTCTTAGTGAATCTTGGCCAGTTCTCTTACATCGCTAAGTCTCACTGATTTGACTTGGATTGGGACCATGTCAATTCCTTGATCGAGTCCGTGTTGAACATAGTTAGCGATGCTCCATTTAAAACGTGCTTTTGGCCTGTTTTTCAAATTAAATTAGAGAATAATCTTTTTTTTGGAGAAAATGAGATATGTCTATATGGATTTTTTTTTGAGAAGTAATCTATATTGATTTTTCAAAATGACTTTTGAAAAAAAATGAATTTTGGGAAAAAAAAATTAAAGATTGCCTCTCGTTTTTATCTTTCTGTAGTGCACTTATTGGATAACTTTGTTTAGGCACCAACAAATTACTAATACTAGCTTGTTATTTGATTATGTGACTTTTTTATTTGTTTTACATGAGGTTAACGTTTTTACCACTCATTCCCCAACACGCATACCCTAAATATACACATGTATACCTGTTCTTTTGATGCTTTTTTTTTTTTTGGGAGCCAATTCTGAACTAATCATGTTCTTTTCCTTGACTAATTTATGGTGGTTGCATGTTATTGGCCCCATCTTTTTCACCCCGGTTTTTTAAATGAAAACTGAATGGGTACCATTTTCTTGTTTGCTGATAGATTGTCATTTCACATATTGGTAACTGTGGTTTTAAACTCTCTTGTTGTATATGTGTTGTGTCAGATCAAGTTTACAGCCATTCTATTTCTTAAGAATTATTATGCTTATCCTCAGTGGAGACTGTCAACAGCGAGTCTTCAAACTTTCCAGAATCATTGCATTAATTACTTCCTTTTGTCACCTGATGTTGCAAATTGATAAGAGTTGCTCGTGTGTTATGAATTGTTCTATCCTTTTTCTTCATTTCTACTACAAACTTTTTTTTTCATCAGTTGCAATGGAAATATTTGTTCTTTACTCAGGATTCATTAAACTCCAGAAAAGGGGACATTGTGAGTCCATCGGACAGTTTGAGTCCATCTGCACCACAGGGGAAAGAGCAATCCTTGGATCTTGCAATGTATCTATCAAAAAGCCACAATGCTTCTGATAATGGTGCTTCTCAATATCTTTTGGATTGGGTTTCATGTCCTGTTTGTGGGAGAAACATATGTGGAACAGATTTTTTGGTTAATTCTCATCTAGGTAAGTTTTCTCTGTAGCCTTTGTACTTATCAAATCCCTAAATATGAAATGACAAAGGGGACATGAGTGGATTGGTTTTGTGGAATTGGCGGAGCCTCCTGACCATGTTTCATTTTAGCTTTCCGTGTATATATGGTAACATTTTGGAAGTTTAACAGAAAAAAAGCATTTTGGAAGTTCTGCACTCTAGAATTCGAAGTGGCACCAGTCTCTGAAAAGAGTCTGTTGTTTATACATTTTGAAAGTGAACTATTGAGACCAGCTATTTACATTATGCTGTATGCACTCTATGCACTTCTTTAGAAGCACTGTCACTTTGTTGAAATTCTGGGCAAAGCAATTAAACCATAAACTTATGGCTGAGGTGATCATAACAATTTTATATTGACGGATGCTATTGGAAAGATATATTGGCTAGTGCTGTGCTTAAAAGTTTTATGAAGCTGATTTTTTGGCAAGGATGTCAATGTGGGCTTTCTAATCTCAAGGCACCCATTCATTAAAATTTGTTTTCGTGTTCATATTATTTGAAGATGCTCAATAGTTCCCCCCATATATGCGTAAATCCTCCATCTAACTACTGTCACTTTCCAACTGCAGTTCTCTGTTTTTATTTGTATTAATATCTGGCCTAAAACATTGAAACATTTAAGGGTAAGCTTCAAGCATTGACCTCGCTTCATTGATATCCCCATGAAAGGATTGTGTCTTCATGTTTTTAATTGGTAATGGTGATATGTAAATCTCTTGGGTGTTAAAGCACTAAATTAATGTCCTTCCAAGTAGCAATGAATTTGATAGGCAAGGCTGCTCTACTGTTTTTTGCTTTGTGTGGGAAGAAGATTGATCCATTTCAAATTGCTTTGTTTACGACCTTCATTTTTGGTCATTGACATTTACAAATTAGCATAAAGTCCTTCCTGCCCTTGATGAACTGCTTAATCACATGGATTTAGCATTTTAGATGGGGTAATTCCTCTTTACACACTCATATATTCTTCCAGAAACTCGCATGGTAATATTGTTTGCAGATCTATGTCTAGCCAATGGAACCAAACGGAAAATGACCCAGCGAACATTGCTTCAGTTCAATTTTTATTCGAGTTCAAAATCAAATATACATGTGGATGACACTAGTTCTTCCAAAAATCTCGTTGTACCATTGGCATTGGATGAAAAAGTCCAGTCAAGTAACTTCACTAAGTGTGCCAAGGACCTTGACGACCAAGATGGAAGATCTGGAATGGAATCCAATGCAAGCTTTTTGTTGTCCAATTCAAAAACTTGTCTTGAATATTCAGTTCAGAGCCTTATAGAGACGCAATCTGTTCACTGTAATGAGACAGGCTCTTTGAGTCCCTTGTCATCCCTCCCCTGCCCTGAACAACAATTTCCCCTTCTGGAGGGCACTGATGTTGGGACTTCCATGGCTACACTTGATACTTACATTGTTGGACGAAGGTTTTGTGATGATGTTGACTTGAAGGAAGGAACCTGTGTATCTTTTGTGAGGGACCCTGAAAATGTTAAGGATCATAATGCCATCAAGGTATTTACTATTTATTAGTCACATGCGAATTTTTTTTTGCAAGGCTCATAATCGTTTGGCATTTCTTGTTTTGGCATCAGGTGCTTTGTAGCAAATCTGGAAGCGACCATGTGCTTGGGTTTCTCCCCAGAGACTTGGCTCTATATCTATCTCCTCTCATGAAAAACCATCATGTGATGATTGAGGTACAGCAGGTTTAGTTAGAATTTGTTGTGTTGTTTGTTTGTACTCAGTATCATATATAGTACTTGCATTAGCTTCCTATTTTGATTTTATCTTTGTAGATTCTTGATAGTCTGGCGTTACTCTGATGTTTTAGTTTTTTATGATCAACTATTGTTATTCTTTATGGTGAGGCTTGTTTTGCTCAATCACCTCTCTTTGATTTTTTTAGTGAAAATATAAATTTAGCCCAGGGTCCTCCGGCATAGCTAAGGTAGGAAATGGCTGGCGCAGTGCACCCTTGTCTTGTGGCTGACTGTCCCTCGTCACCTACTAAGAAGCCCAATGTTGTAGTAAGGTTCTGTGGATGAATCCAGATGGTCCTTCTTCATGATCTACCCTTGGTTTGTGCAATTAGGTGATGTTGAAGGAAATTGGGTGGCATTGGAAACCTAGAGCAGTCGAATCTGTGACGGCATGGTGGGAGAGGGTTGGAGTTGCAAGGTGCTTGGAGTAGGACTTAATGACAATTTGCAATATAAATTGAATTTCAAGCATTATCTTTTATTTGCCTTCGGGAAGCCATTGAGAGGGAAATATCGAAAAGAGTTTGTTTCCAGTAAATTTCATAATTGTTGTTTATTTTATACTTATTCAGAGTAGGTGGTATAAAATGCAAAGAGAGCCTGGTAAAACAAGATTTGTTTGTGGAGGAGAATTGGGAATGTAAGGATTTAGTTTTTGCTGAAGACCATAGTGATTCTCAATTTCGTTAAACACTAAAGAGAGGAGTCACATTAGCTGCAATGAATATATATAATCTTTCTTATTTGGAACTTTTTTTTGACATCAACCTGGGGAGATTATTCTAGTGAGCTCATCTCTCTCTTGATCAAGTAACGTGACTGTGCTTACTAGTCTTCTAAGAAGTGGATTTCTATTGTTTGGGAATTTCTGCTTGAATCAAGGAAAATAATTCCTATTTTACAGATGCGTTAAAATATATTACAACTATGAAAATCCTAATGATATGTTGTCCTCATCTATCCTATTTCTATCCATGAGAGATTCCAATTTCTATGTTTGTTTTACATGCTATATTGCTATTTATGTGGTTGCTTATTTCAATATTCATCTACATGGATGTTTTCTCTGTCTAATACTTTTCCTGGTTTATTTATCTGGCTTGATGAAGTGATATTTGCAGGGATTGGTTACATCTCTTCCTGATCATTCACTTGGCGCTGTTCCTGTAAGAATCTTTTGTCAAAAGATTCTAGTCGCTACAGAAAGAGAGTCTGATGAGCATCAAATGTTCCAATGCTTGTGGGAGAATGTTGCTCGTGTTGTTGAATCATCAAAAGACTTCCCCCCAAACACTAAAAAGTATCAGCAAAACTTCTGCATTTTGATTAAGGAAGTTTTGAAGCATCACTCTTACCTTTTCACTGATGATGAGAAGCTGTTTCTAGGTGCTCTTGCAGTTGCTTTTTACATGCCTTTTTGAAGTGTTGGTTGGCTCTATCCACTTACTAAAACAAATGGAATTGTTTCTCACTGGTCAGGATCCTTCGAGTCACTTTCTGATGATAGTCAGAGGCTTTTCATTAGACTTTATAGACGAAAAGGTAGTCTCTGCACTTAATCTCAAAATCTATATATATCTCCAGGGGAATGAACCAATTTGAATGCCATGCAAGCATACATTGCTTACTGTTGTATTCGAAAATTGGATTAAGTTCAAATTGTTAGGAATAAAGATTGGAGCAAATTTTAAGGAGGACTAAGATGATGATGTTTAAATTATGCACATTGATGTTCATCACAGTGGAATTTGTATAATTTAATATCCATGTGATCACCCATTATTATTGATAGAGATAGGTTATTATTACCAATGTATCAAATTATAAAAGAGAAATGGATTCCCTAGAGGATGGGAGCAGGTATTCTTTAAGTGTTAGGAGCGTTTTCCTACGAGGAGATGAATGGGTTCTTTAGTAGGTTCACTTTTCCAAAATGTGATTCTAGGGCGGGAACCCTAAGTCAATAGTTCCTTCCAAATAAATATGACTGTTGTAGAAATGATCATACTAGACCAAATGCCAATAGGAATGAAAGTATCATTCCATCTCTCCATTTGTGTCTATTAAGAGGAATAATGAAACAAAAGCAGGGAAAATAAAGAAAAGTAGCAAATATTTCTTAGGCATTGTTTTGTCTGGAATCCTTGATTATTTGATTTTCTTCTCAATGTTTGCTATCGTGCTTGATATTTCTATGTTCATTTCTATTGTTGTTAAGACCATACCAATGAGGGCACTAGTTTGGTTAGACCGGTCGAAATTGATAGCTTCCAAATAAATAAACAATAAAAATACGAAAAATACAAAAAAATGGAGAAAAGGATGAAAGTATGGAAAAATAGAAAAATTCTGAAAATTTTAAAAATTATCACGAACAAATATTAAAGAACAAAGTTTCTACGAGTCCTCAGACACATATGTGGAAATGCCCCTCCTAATAATCTATTTTTGAAATGGATTTTAGCCCTAATTTTTAAGGAGTATATAATCTCTAAGATGGACTAAAAATAATAATTTTTAAAGGAAGTATTTGGACCATTGGTTTTAAATTTTTTTTGGAGGGACCACCATTTACATCCATCTTTGAGATGGATGGTTTATGCCTTGTGGGATGCAAATGTAAGAATGCGTCCCTTGACGCATATAACACTTTATCGAAATTAAATACAATACCCATTTGTTCATATCTCAATTCAATTCTCATGATGCACTCTAATAACTCATCAAGCAATAAACCAACAATAGTGAAATTGAATTATTGAAGGCAAAGCTAAAGCTAAAGTAATGAACTATGAATAAAAACCATATATATATATATATATAGAGTGGATTCAGGACGCCCACTAGCTGACCGCTACAGTAAACGCCAATGGTCTAGATTGAATTTAAGTCGATTTGACGGTCACGACCTCTTTTCATGTTTGAATTTTAATTTTTTTTCTATAAATCCAAATCACTTGAAATTTTAGGTGTACGTTCTTCTCATCAAGGTGCACCTAATAGAAATACATATAAATAATCCGCAAAAAAACAAAATTGACCAAAATACCCCCGAAACTTTATAGGGGTTTTTTGGTCAATTTTTTCATGTAAAATATTTTTTTTTATATTTTTTGAAGATTTACCTATTTTTTATGTACACACGTTCCAAATTTCAGATCATTTCGATTTTTAGAAAAACAATTAAAATTCAAACACTACCTGACATCCAGGATTGTC